GCGAAGACCACTTGGAGATATACTGGAAGTTGAAAGAAGGGATAGGGATGAAGACGTACTTGGTCGGCCCCATGGACTATGCGAAAAAGCTGAAATTGCAATTTCGAGTAGGCGATCTGGACTTGCCAGAACGGAGGAAGAGGTATACCAGCCGTAGGAGAGAGGAAGAGGAGGATAGACACACATGTCCATGTGGCAAATCGGAGGAGAGTAGACCCCACATAGTTGGGGAGTGTGAGTTGTACAGGAAGGAAAGAGAGGATCTCGAGGAGGAAATGAGACAGAGAGGGTGTGACATGGACAAGTTTGGTAAATTAGACAACAGCGAAAAAACGATCGCGATAATTGGGGATAGATGGTGGGCACAAGAGGCCCTAGAGGACGGGGATAAGATGTGCAAGAAATTTTTATGGAGTTTGTGGCAGAAACGTAAAGAGCTCCCAAATGTTGGTGGTGTCTCTAGTAGGTGTAGGAACGGTGCTCCGTCTCGAAAGGGACGCGTGGTCAATGGTCAAATGACTACGGCAAGCAACAAATGAGTACGCCCCCCCCCCCCCCCCCCCCCCGCCGTCTGTTCCCCCTCTTTAATCAAAGCGGATACCCCGGACGTCGCTCAAGCGCTCGCCTCTCCCACCAACGAGTCCGCCATGTCCCAAGTCTCCATCGCGGCGTCGCGGTTCCTCTCTTCGCCGGTCAACAACCCGTTCGGCCCGCAGTTCCGCGGGCAAAGCGCCAGCTCCGGCCTCACCGGGGTTAGCGCGGGCACCGCCGCCGGCTCGGGGTCAGGCGTCGTTCCCGTCGGCGCGGCGAGGAAAGACATGGGAATCTCCCAAGACCTGTCCGGCTTGACGCCCACCCGCACGGGCCGCGGCGGGGAGGACGGGGCCCGCTCCCCCGGGGCCTTCTCCGTGGCCGGGAGATCTGAGGCAGGCTTCTCCGACGCCGCTTCGCGGTACGACAACAGCTTCGCGGCGTCGCGGGAGAGCGGGGTGAGCCTCGCCGGGCGCGTAGGCCTCACCACCGGCGCCGGCGCCGGCGGCCCCCCGACCCGCCTCGACGGCCTGGCGATACAGCAGCCGTCCTCGCCGAACTCGGCGGCCGCTTCCAGGTTCGACACCTCCTCCCCCGCCTCAGCGACGACGTTCACGTCGAGGGTCGGCGTGGGGTCGCCGACCGCGGCGCCGGTGGGGGCCGGCGGGAGAGCGCGAGTCGGGGCGGGAGGCCCGCTGACCGGAAGGTCGGCGGCGAGCTCCATGAGGTCAGACGGCGGTTCGTCGTTTTTCAGGGCTTCTGGCGGGTCGCAGAGGAGCGGGGACTCCCGCGGGGTGGGCGGCGCGGGTTCCGCGTCGGCGAGCTCGTGGGACGAGGAAGACCTGCAGAACATGGGCACGAGGTGGCTGGCAGACCGTGCCTACAACCAGCAGTTTGATGCACAGAAGTAGAGAGACCAGAGAGAGTTGTTGTTGTGCCACAGTATCATTTAACGGTACGCGCAGGGGTGGGGGGTGGGGGGTGGGGGGTGCTTGTACTGAAGTGTTGCGTTTGGCAGAATAGGGGGCAACGGTAGTAGCACAACTCTTTGACGGTTGCGCTTTGCGTTTTTTGTCGGGTGTTTTGGTTGATACGGTTGATATATATATGTAAAGTTTTTTTTTCTTCTCCGGCCTGTTTCTTTTGTCTTCTGGCTCGGGTCACCGACGGAAAGCCCCATAATGGCGGGGGGAGTTTAGTTTTCGTCTCCCATGGAGATGGTGTTGCTTGAGAAAGGTCGAGAGGTTCGATTTGATTTTTTCCGTACTACAATCGTTTGTTGTCCAAGAACAAAAATGGACGATTTTCTCTTTTGTTTTCGGACTCGGGAGCGTTCGGTGTTTCCCTCCTTTGCGGCAATTCGTCGATATGCACGAGCTGAGCATATCTCGGGGGGCAGGGGGTGGGGTCTCGTGTCGAGAGTGGCGGCCCGCCCGCAGCGCGTTTAAGAGGCTTGTGGCAAGTCACGCGCCACCGATGCGGTCAGGTCGGTGTTTGTTGCTTGTCCTCTCGCGGGCAGAAGACTGTGCGCGCCGATTGTTTTTGTTTCATTTATCTGTTGGGAACACCCACCCGCATGCCTCCCTCCATCCTTTTGTTCTTGTGCCACTTTTCGAGTATCGGATCATGTCATTAGCCTGCCGAAGCAAACTGATGGGGGGGGGGAGGCACTTCGCACCCCACGGCACCGTAGCGTCCTGGTACATCTATCGCTCTGAAGACGATGTGGTGTACGCTTGGTGCTTGATCCGGAGAGCAAAGAGCTTTTGGTTTCCCCCTTTCAAGACGGATTGAGGCTCTTTTTTTTTTTTGTGGTGCGTGAGTGGCGTTGTGGCGTTGACGCAGGCAACATGACGAAGGCGTGATAGGTTATAGGTAAGATACACAGACGGCAGGATTGAGACGGTGTGTGTGTGTGGGGGGGGCATGGCGTGTCGCCTGCTACGCCAGCAAAGGCATCTTCGATCGCGATGATTTTGTAATGTGTCCGTCTAGTAA